GTTCTCATCGATGTCCTGGGCCTTGTAGAAGGAGTCCATGTTATCGTGGAGAACTTCTTGGCGAAAGTTGGGCAGATGTGGTATCTGAACTTTCGTAGCTTTCTGGAAAGCTGCATCTAGATTCTGTGGCACTGCCATAATCAGGTCGATCGGGGTAGAGTGATTGCATCTGGATCATCTTCCTTCATCAAATCGTCTGAGCTGTATTGCCACTTTTAGATGGTGATGTGAGATCTAGGTTATTGACCATCCAATACCGTATCTCTGCATCAGAAAATATGATTCCTCCATCATCCTCAAAACCATCATCATTAACAAATTGTAGATGCTCGCCGGGGACTGCGTGTAGCTGTCTGTATATCTGATGAGGTTTGTGGCGATCTAGTTGACTTGTGCGCGCGCTCTATGTGGAGATCTGGACGGGTGATCAACCTGGTGATGAGCGAAGTGGAGATCGTCTATGGGATGATCTTCTCGGAGACTTGTGAGGTGAATGTTGATAGCTTAGCGAAGCTCTTCGGCGATCCCTCGATGTTCTTCTAGGCGATGAAGATCTGGAATCATATGTCGCCAGCGAATGCCTTGAAGCTTCATTTGCGTCCGGTCCGGGGATCGATGATATGACGCCAGCGAAGGCTTCCGTGATGTCTGATGGTCTGAGTCCATATCTAGAGATGAAATCGAAGATGGTGATGATCTCTCGCCAGCGAAGGCCTTGCGAAGGCTGTACATCTAGGTCCGCCGTCAAGGTGGTGCTGGGACTTCCTTCAGCGAAGGTGACATCGTCTTGGCTGCTCACGTTGTGAGGGGTGCCTCTGGGGTGCTGTCTACGTTGGAGCCTTCGCGAAGGCTCGGACCCTGCTTGCGCGGTTTGTAGTGGTCCTCCATGATGTTCATAATCTGCGCATCATGTCTTCTGGGATGATCTGTGGACGAAGTCGCCGGGCGTCTTTTCTGCGATGGGGTTCACATCAATGGCGTCTGGCGTCGGTGTAGAGAGGCATCAGGCTGCATGGTGATCTCTGCAGAAGTCACAGTCGCTGACACCGGTCGCTTCTTCTGCCGTAAGTCGGGGATGATTATCGGCTGATCATCGTAGAGGCCCAACTCTGCTGCTGGAGCGATCTCGGCTGAGAAAGTTCTTGCTGTCTTCGTAGATTTCCCTTTGGAAGTCTGCGCTGCCCTGGGTGTCCCTCAATCTGCGTTGAGGCGGCGGCGATGAGGCCCTCTTAGACTTAGTCTGCAATGGCCGGGATGTCTGGGGAGGCGGTCGTTTCTTCGAGGAAGCGGACTGCGTCCCACGTTCCTCTGCCGCAGGGGTCTCTAGCAGAACACCAGGCGGAGAGAATTCGATCGCTAGCAGCTGACTGGATGGAATATCTGGACTCTCTGCCATGTTTTGCCCTTGTTTGCGTGATCTATCTGCAGCGCGTCTTAAAGGCCTTAAAGATGATATTTATTAAATGCAGAATGAGATAAATTAATGCAGTAACTGCAGCGTGAATTAAGCGCACAGTAGAACAACTAGGGCATATTACATGTGGATCGGAGGCAGAAAAGCGTAATCTACAAATCGTACAGATTTTCATCAGCGTAAAGCTAGCTGAACAATCACGAATACACGTGAATAAACGGTAGAAATACGATAATTAATCAATACAAATAGTAAAGGATACTAGCTATACCTCTATAGTAACCTATGAGGAGGTAAAACTAAGAGATTATCAAAGGATATGGTGTGTAAGGAGACACAAGGCTCTCACATCCTGCTCACTGGGCTGAAGAAGGAGAGTGGAGCACATGGCCAGAGGGTGGCGACACCTTTCCGCCAGGGAGACAAAGGGGAGCAACTCGTGGTGAGTACCAATTAGTGATTTTATTTTGAAGGGGCTTCAAATAAGGAGATACAAGTGTTCCACTATGTTCGCAAGAAGAAGAAGACAAGCAAAGAGCATGAGTCAGGATAAGGAAAATACACAGTTTTGACCATGCTAAACCTTTGCCCCATCCATATTATCCTCATCATTCAATACTTCATAAAAACATAAATGTGGTCTGACTTTTGTACCATTTCACATTTCTTCATACATACATCTGCATTATTTTGTCATGCAGTATTATTATGATTATAATGTTTTGACCAGACAAAGGTACACTGAACACAAATAGAACACACAGGTGACACCACTGGACAACACAAACGGTTACATATAGCATTCGGTCCTCACAGTGTAGCAGGAACAGTCTAATGTATAGACATACAGCTTCCTCTCATGAGGTGACAAGCAGAGAGTGGTGTGTCAGGAGAGCTTCACCAGGACAATGTACAGGCATTGGCCGTAGGGAGTTCACAAACAGTAATCATCCATTGCAGGTTGACTCTTTACTTCATAGCATATCATTCAACTTTGTACGTGCAGAGGATTTCAAGTTAGAATGGGTCTCCAGTAATCTATGCTGTTGGATTGGGTTGTTGATTATTGTCGCACTCAACAAATTCCAGCTATATGGCAGCGGTCTGTAAATAATTGAGTCTGGACCAGACAATACAGTGATCAACATCATGAGCATTGATCTACGCAATTGGGATACGTGACACTTGTCAACCAAGTCAGCGACCCTGACCACCCGATCCTGTTAGTCGCCTCTTACAACAAGCATGGGTTGCTGAAGACCAATTCTAACCCGGATCATCACAGGTCGTAATCTGGTCATGAGAGGCAATTGAGTGGATTGGGTGGTCAGAAACACTGACTTGGCTGATCGTGTGTCATCATTCACTGATGTGTGGATTAGTCTCAAATATCAGGCACTGGAGTGTCTTGCCACTATCACATCATTGAAATATTAGAATGTCGGGTTAAAACAAATAACTAAAACATTGTAATTTCCTTTTTTAACTTCACACATTATATGACAAGGCTTCAAATCTTCACAGTTCACAATTTCACCTTGTCAGTGTATGAAAGTATTTGTGAAACTTTATCTTCTGCAGATCTTAAGTGTGAAAGATAAATGAAACAGGTAAGCACAAATTTGGTTCAGAATTACTTTTCTGGAATTATGTCCTACACTGACTTGATACAGGATACCTAGGAAGACGTGTTTTATGTGAACTTCTGGCCAATGCCTGTACATGAATAGAGCACAAGCTAAATGTGGTGATGCAGCAAGAGAAGAGATGCTTCCTAAGATGTGGTCAATTCATACATACATCTATAATGAACCAATACACTGTAGAATTATCTTCAGTGATATTTGTCCCAAGTCTAGAACATGTGTATGAATTGTAATCAATACATATGCATATTTCCTGTATATTGACATCCTGGGATTATCATACAGAAATCTGGCATGCAAGGAATCAACTATGTCCAGTACATCAATATGGACACACACAGGTATGATCAATCTCATCAAAATCAGATCTCAGCTCTGATACCAGATGTCTCTGCATCAAAATCTGACATCATCCCCATTGAAGGTTGCAGCAGGTGAATCCTTGGTGAACTTCATCAACTAAAGGATGAGCAAGTTCTTAAGCTAATCAGAAGCAAGCTTTATAAAATGACTTTAGTCTTTTAGGTCCATATTTCGAAATTTGGTCGATCTGCAAAAACAAAACTGCCACAGAACACAAATACCCCTTTATAGTACAACCTTTTGGGCAGTTATATGCCAGAGCACTCAGAAATGACAGGATGTAAAATATATAAATAACAGCATGGCTGTATGTTTATGCATTTGGAACATTTGTTTTTAAGATGCCAAAACCAGATAAGTGTCATGCATTGCTCACTTGTGCTAAGAATACATAAGACTTGATTCTGCCTGGCTGAATAGAAAGATCACCTGGCGTGACCTACAATGGAGGAGTCTTCACATCATCACACAGAGAGGAATCATACTGGGAAGACTTTGATGAGACTGATGGCGAGTAATATTGTACCATGCCCACTCCAACATGACACCCATGCCTGTCACACTGTGATGCATGCTGCTTACCCGGGCTAGTATCTTATGGTCCTATTTCAAAATAATCATATGCTAATAAAACATCACAAATACTGAAATACCTGCTGACGGAATACATAACCTATATCATGAAATATATGTACAAAATTGGAATGTCCATTTCTTGCATTTATACAACAACGTCTGTGTGAACACATGACTAGTTTGCTTCAGGGTGTTGAGAGAAGGACAAAGCAGAATGATGTTGAGTCAGAGGCCCAGATAAGCTGCATATCTGGGTCAGATACGCATAGAAAATTTCAAAATCATTGTTGCGTACCAATTACGCATTTAAAATGTTAGATACGCAAAAAGTAATCTGTGATTAATGCCACTTTGAACAACATCTCAGGTTTATCGCAATATGCCCCCTAATGTGGGAACTGCCAAAGTGATGTATGTTGTAGATGTTTATCAGTTTGAATAATGGAACATTGATCAGATACTTGCACAACTATGGGAGGTAACTCTGCACAACTATTGGATGCAACTCTGCACACTTATGTGATGCAACTCTGCATAAGTAAGGGAAGTAACTCTGCACACCTACTGGCTGCAAATCTGCACAACTAAGGGAGGTAACTCTGCACAGTTAATTGCTGTATCTTTGACAAACATGCCCACAGTATGTGTAGTATACTGAACAAATTTAGACACTCACAAAACACAAACACTTTGTGTCAAATGGAGGAAGAATGAATGAAACTAAACCAATGACGATTTGAGATGTGTACGAAGCCTGACGGACATTGATTCAGAAGAAGAGGAATGATGAACACTACAGCTCTTGGGGGATGTGAAGTGAGTGATGGTGTTGTTGGAGGACTAGCTAGACCCTAATTGTTCTTCAGTGATTTGCTTGGTGTGATCTCTCAAGTGTGGTCCACTTCTATAGAGTGATTCTGCTACATTTGCTACGATGTAAGAAAGATTGATTGGTGAAATACTAATTCTTTTGATCTTGTATCTAAAAGAATCCAAATAACCTTTCGCTCTTGATCCTGCATAAAACACAATAACAGAATATGTAATGTAAAACTGTCCAGAGCTGAAACAACTGCCATGATCAGAATGTATATGCCTATTCAACAAATACCTCAACTTGTCACACAAAATTAATTCATATGCAAGATAACAGATGGTAATAGGTATTGATAATGTGGGTATTACATGGATGGTAACTTATGGATGATTCCTGCACATGACAGATGATATTTAGTAAAACCTAATCAACTTGTCACACAAAATTAATTCATAAATAACTGTATATATAAAGACTGATATAGTTTACAAGACATATAACACAAAAATATTACAGAACAACCAGAATTCATAGTAGAAAGATGGATTTTCTGACACTGATACCAATGAATGTAAACTTCACTTTCATATCTGACGAAACAAACAGGCAAATAAACCCATGTTCCAGAGAGTAAAGAAACTTACAGTTTCCAGCTCAGCAGATGTGACACCCTTCGTTGTGGGCTTCCTGTTCTTCAGAAGCTGGATCTCATCTTTGAGATTATCGACGTCACGCAGTCTGGAACACATAGGGACATAGGGAGACATCACCAGGACATTACAGATGGATGATAACATATGCTTGGTAACCAATGGAAACAGGTGCATGATAACATGCATGTTACATGTGTATAACAAGAGATGGATGGTGACTTATAGATGATTTCTGTACATAACAGATATAAGGTGAATGTCATAGATGTGCGATAACATTTGAATGGTAGCAGATGGTAATGTATGAAAACATGGAGGTAACATGTGCGATAACATGTAGATTGCAGCATGTGGTAACAGATATAATACATGTAACTTCATTTTAACATATGGAAGTAACATATGTGTGATAACAGATGGACAGTAACAGAAACATGACAACATAGTAACGTATATATAACATGTAAATTATAGACATGCTATAACAGGAAGATAACAGATGGTAACAGATGCATGATGACATGGATTAACATGCAGTAACAGATGTATCATTACCTATGGATGGTTACAAATGGAACAGTTGGATGTTAACTAATGGAATAGCAGAGAAACAGATGACTGCATTTGTGGAATAAATGTTTCTGTTTGGATTGTAATAGCTGTGTTTGTGCTTGTAGCATGATTGTGTTTGTTGTTTTGGTAATTGCTGTGTCGATGAAGTAATATTTGGGATTTTATGGTTGGAGTTTGTGATTGTAGTTGAAGTAATGGTTGTGTCTATATTTGTGTATTTGTTAGCAGTAGTGGTAGTGTTTCTCTTTGTGGTGGTCTTACTGTTTGCTGCTATGTTAATGGTACCACTCTAAAGATGGATTGTGACACTCCAGATATTGGATCTGTCCCTACCTATGGTCAGTTTCCATTTGGAGACGTGTTGTCAGGTCGGACTTCATTAGGCGCTGCTTCTCCTCAACAGCATCAATCTGAAACAGGCAGTGCATGTCATATATTCACAAGCAGGATTCTTTCACAACTTGAAAACATGTCCTGGTCATGTGTCTTTCTGTGACTCACATCATTGGGTAGAGCCTGGAGGCTGGCATTCAGTTCCCGGATGGTCTGACTGGTGACGTCCTGCCATAGTGTGATGGAGGCAACCTTCTCTCGTAGGTTCTCACCCATAGTTGTGGTAGCCTGGAACACAACACACGTCTCCATAACAACCACAACATCAACCTCATGACATGCATTCAGGGCTCTTCGCAACATACTGCAAATACTGTCACACTGCAGAAACAATATAGTTCTCTACATCTTCATTTAATATTCATCAACTGCTTCAAATGATATACAGTTATAAACATTGTTTGCAATGTTTATAATTTCAGTAGGCAAGTATTTTTTAAAAATGTGGTGAATTTGTTACTGTGACTGAGATGCCCGATATCAGTGGTGATCTGTATCTTAACCTGCACAGAGTCACATCAAAATGCATACAGGCCATGACATTAAAGGAAAATGCACAAAGATTTCCAAGTAACTTTGAAATCTGCACTGTGTTTTCACATTTTTAACCAAAACAAATCTGATTATGTGTCTTTAAAGATAATGACCTACTGATGTACAAGACATGAAGCTGGTGAAAATGTTTACCACACTTTACCATGGAATAATGAAGAAACCTTGAAGAACCTGATATAGGACCTTCATCATTCATATCCATATTTGAAATGACATTATTTCTGGACTATTACTATCTAATTGGAAATGGATCATGTATTTGAACCCTTATATCAAAGACATCGGAAGTGACCTAAACCTTATTTCATGTGAAAACTACAGGGACAATTAAATGTACTAGTCCTCACTTGGAATGTTACCAGAATGAGAATAAATCCTCTTCAAACAGAATACTACAGTCAGCTCAACATGGGGCAGCAGCACCCATGACTCTTCCTACTCTATGCCTAGTAGCAGGGTTTGTTATAAAGACATGCAATGTAGAAAATAGAAACAGATTTTAGTAAACTCGCATCATATTTCAAAACCATTTTCTTCAATCTAATTTACAGATTTCAAACCATCTGTTTCATGCAATGTTTGACACAGGCATTACCTGTATATTACCGTCTATAAGCCGACCCCCAAACTTGACCCTTAAAATCAGTGTCAAAATGGTAAATGTGTTTTCTAATAATTGATTGTTGATTGTTTTTTTTTTTAATGGCACACTTAACAATAATCCAGCTATTTGGCAGTGATGTCTTCTAGCAGCATTTAGAAGTTGCATATAGATGTCCAAGATATTTTTTATGGATTTCAGCTTCTTTATTCTTTACACTCAACGTTTCGGGACCATAACAGATCCCTTCATCAGGTGAACTCAGGGATCTGTCATGGTCCCGAAACGTTGTTTGTAAAGAATAGAAAAGCTGAAATCCATAAAAAAAATATTGGTCATATACATGGCAGTGGTCTTTAAAATAATTAGTATGGACCAGGCAATGCAGTGATCAACAGCTTGAGCATTGATTTACTCAACTGGGAAACAATGACATGCGTCAATTAAGTCAGCGAGCTTGGACACCCGATCCCATGAGTCACCTATTATGACAAACATGGGTTGCTGAAGACCGATTCTAACCCCGGATCTTCACGGGTTATGTTTTGTAATGATCTGCCAATACATCTAGTGCACTGAGTCCCGTCTGTGGCTAGTGCATGTATCATCATTTAATAGGTCTGCAATCCGGCAGCTGTCAATTCCGGATTTCGGCATGAAATGAACCGCCCTAATATGGGTTTATACTGTAATCAGCGCTATATAATCCGGCGCATGGCGAGGAGTCGACTGGATGTGTATTGTCACCAATTAATCTTGCGTTGAAATGGTTGCCAACAAAAACATTTTAATCTTAACTCAGCATGGGTATACTTGTACATGTAACTGGTGAGTTGACATGTTTTATTGTGATAGAACAATGTATATGAGAGTGACAAAACTTGTTCAACTCTAGTCGGAGGTAACCATGTCATCTGTACAATCCGGCTTATTTCTTTAGTCCCAATGAGTGCTGGTTTAGACAGCTTCCACTGTATATGACTTTGGTTTTTATAAATGACTGAGTCCGGACCAGATAAACAAGTGACTAACATTATGAGCATCAATCCATGCCACTGGAAACAATTATATGCAATCAACCTGTCAGTCAGTCAGCCAGATCTGATCCATTCAGTCACTGATAAAGACAAGCATAGAGGTGCTGGGGAAACCTTGTTTCATCAAGAATCACCACTGAATCCGAGTCGGACAGGAAATGAATTGTTGTTATATATTATTAACAAGCAAAAAAGATTTTCCTCATTATCTAAGAATACTACTCAGTCTTGACACAGCTACTCATTACGACTAATTAGATTACAGAGAATACATGCAGACATATTCGCAATGATATGAGGGTTTCTAGTCAGGAAGGGAGATAACTGAAGGTTTGAAGGTATACCTGATCAAGTTCCTGTCTCTGCCAAGCAGCAAGTAAAGAAATATATAAGATGTATTATATAAATGTAAGGTCATTCTCTCAAACAAAAATTTACATTGCTCGGGAATTTACATCAAGAGGAATCATAAAATTACACTATTAAGACGAAAAATCTAGTTAATCTGTGATTTAAGTGATAAATGCAAATTGATCTCAAATGATCGGAAAAAACCCCAACATTTTAAGAGTTTACCAGTGAATACCAGTGAATAACTTGTCTATGTCATCATTGACATATTGAACACAAATAAGAACCTGTCTCAAGTATAAATCCTATGGTCTCAGTAACTGTGTTTGCCGCCAGTTGACGTATCTCCAAATATTGGATAGCGGCGCATACTACTCACAAAACAAGCAGTTTTCATGTGGAAAGGTGTGAAAAAAGCTTTTCATCTTCCACAAATTATAAAAAAGTAGATATTAGCATACCTTGAAGAAACAATATTATAATGCCTTAGCATGAAGATTGTAAAATCAAAATGGATAATCCATTTATGCATTAGTTAAAATTTATTTGATACTGTAGTTATCAAAGGTAAAAACGAAAGAATTACAGATTATTGCAAATTATTAACATCAGGGCTCCAGATAAGGGCCGTATCTGCGTATGTACAGATACAAAATATGCACGATATGGTAGGAAATAATTAAGGAAACGTAGCAGATACGCACCACAGCAATGGTGTACGGTCTTAAGATCATTTACAGAGGTATTTATCTGAAAACGTATTGTTTTATTGTTTATTGACCTGTTTACACAAGAGTAGCAATGTTGTGGTGCATATATGAAACGAAAGACAAGGTTACAGATACGCCATGAAATTCCATTCAGTACTCTAAATGTACTCTTAAGATTTCCAGTTCTACTGTATTGAAAAAATAAGCAGTACATACTCCTGATGTTGAAAAATTATCTGGAGCCCTGAACATAAAGCAAATATCAGCTGGTTTCACTTCAGTGAAAAATGCCAGCTACTTTGAAAAGTTATGACATGGATGTATATGAATATATTTAAAAAGAAAAAAATATTTTAATAATTGTACATGCAGGAATAATGTGGGTATGGTAAGCATGAAATAATAACTTATTTTAATCACAACATGTCATGCAGGACGCTATACAGACAAGGACATCCATTGAACATGTCATGGACATAAACATAAGGACATATGGACATTTATGGACATGGCATCAGCATGCAGCATGCTAACAAATCATCTGTACACGTATCAGCACATATGAAATGAATAGAAGGATACAGATACAGCAATAGCTGTTTTAAAAAGTAATATAAATAGCTAGGACTTTGAAACAACACATATTAATGATTGTTGATATACCTCTGGGTTACTTAGCAATGCAAGCTGAAGATATTAATACACAACATTTGATATTCAATGCATGCATGACAGGAATATGTACATACAGGACACAATGAAACCTGATCTAATATCTATCTTACTTATAATGATATATGGTTAAAACATTCTGACCACAGTTAAAAAGGTTTTTACACTGTTTTCCGAAGTACTTCAGCAAAATCATGTCACAGGACATCAAAATTTGGCTTCACACATAGAATCCAAGTGGGGAATCGAACATGGGCTTTAGGTATGAAGAATGAACACATATACCATTGGCCTACCCCACTGTCTCCTTAACAAGTTAACTGAGCGTATTAACTAAAAGTCAATGAAATAGCTTTACACAGTATTCACATGCACCATGGTTTCATATATTCATTTTTGCATATACACAAAACATCCACTACATCATTAATACACCAACATATCCATAACACCCCATCTATGTAACAAACACTTATCAGGAAGAGTTACCTACCTTGTTGACCTTGGTATTGACATCACCTTCAATGCCAGACACTTTCCTATTCATATTCTGCAAGCGAGCATCCATATCTGTCATGGCACGGGCTGATGATTGATCTTGTTCTCTCAACAAATCTTTCACCTCTTTCCGTACCTAGAAATAGTTTAACACATACTTGTTTCAGAAATACATTCACAAACTGCTGTTTAGTGTGTCCAGCTCTCTCTTCCTCAGGTGTAAACAAACAAAACACACCTTTTTGGGGTTTCCAACATGACTTTTTTTGGTATCCAAATTGAACCAATCTGGAGATATTGACCAGAAATATTTTTTCAAGCACTACACTAGAAACACACCACTATAAAATGTTACATAAATACGTTGCCCTTTACTACTGATAAATAAATTATCATCTCCATCTCAAAGTAGGCTTTTAATGGACAAGAGGCTGCGCTTCAAAGATTTTTCCTTGAAAAACATGGCTTAAAACATTGATTTCTAGCTGGACTGTGTGTTCTCAAACCACTTTGTTTCCATGTCATTTTCAGTTTTTACCACTCACCCTTCATATTCTTTGGAATTATTAGAGTCAATATTACATACTTCACAAGAAATGAACAGTCATGTGTCTGTACCTTCAGGTTTAATGGTGCTCACTGAGATAATATGCTGCTCACATATTGCAAATGATTGTAAAAGATAAGTTCTCACTTTGTACTCATTTGAAAATTGAACCTTGGTCTGCAGTGTGATAACCAAACTCTACAACCACTAAAAGCTACCCGGTGCCTATAGCGTCGCGGTAAATGTTTACCTTGTCTGTGTGGTCATTGAGTTGGGTGGTCACTCCCCTACAACAGCAACACACCATCAACACAGAGAACTGGGAAAACAGACTTCTTCCTCTCCTTCCTACAACAGCAACACACCATCAACACAGGGAACTGGGAAAACAGACTTCTCCCTCTCCTTCCTACAACAGCAACACACCATCAACACAGGGAACTGGGAAAACAGACTTCTCCCTCTCCTTCCTACAACAGCAACACACCATCAACACAGGGAACTGGGACAACAGACTTCTTCCTCTCCTTCCTACAACAGCAACACACCATCAACACAGAGAACTGGGAAACCAGACTTCTCCCTCTCCTTCCTACAACAGCAACACACCATCAACACAGAGAACTGGGAAAACAGACTTCTCCCTCTCCTTCCTACAACAGCAACACACCATCAACACAGGGAACTGGGAAAACAGACTTCTACATCAACTTCATCTATCAGACAGTGGGTTTGTTATACCCCTGAACAGTGTTTCAGCCATATTGTATGTCAGCTGAATGAGGGAGAAAATGCAAAGTGACATGAAGGTGTTTGTCTCTCTAGTGATGCCCAAGAGCATGGGTATCGTGCTGATAGACCAAACATATCATGAAGAGATCATCTGTATCATAAACAATACATCTTTATTGAACATTGCGTTATTATAACCTGTGTGAGCAGGGCTAGTTTTGTCATTAACTGATCATTTGAAGGTGGTATCTGTATCACTGTACAAGTGCACTCTGCAAACAGTTACATTACTCCCAGAGGGATAATCTACTCTGATTGACACTAGTAGTTTTCACATAACACCACAGACTTACAGCCTTGAACTTAGTGTTGTAATTGAGAGTAGTACCCCTTTGACTTAGTGGACAGTTTAGACATAATGCCTCTTTGTCATCAGGTAATGTTTAAAAACTCCATAACGGATAAACTATCTGTGATTGTTATGAAATCACATACACAGCTTGACATAACTTGATGAAGAGATCATCTCATTGCAATCAGTTTTTATAATTCATCTAGGAAAAAAGCTGCATGCGTTATTGCCTCATTTTACTTGGATAGAACATGGTCCTATCATCAGCTAGTGTTGTAAGCATATGCCACATATATAGCAACAATGCAATTTTCAACATTGAATTTACATAATTTGCAAAGTTTAAGTGAGTTATAATTAAATTATTACACAAGTCCCTGTTAAATACCATTTCCATTGTCTATTTCACATTTTGCTAAACGAGTCAGTAACTAGATTTGATGAACTTCATTTGCCATTCTTTGATTTCGAATATCCATAATGGACCGAAAAAGCATGATATCACCATTCACATACACTATATCTTATACCATTCCAGTGTTTGAAATGAAAGAGAAATGTCAAAGGATCCATATCCAAATCCTGATGTATAAAACATGTAATTTTTATGATAAAATTAATATTTTATACTTATCCTGACTCATGCTTATTTGCTTTCTCATCCTCTCTTCCGAACGGTCAAGTGGAAACTTGAATCCCTTCAATTCCCTGAAGCCGAACGCACAACCACTCACCCTGAATTACCTCCTTTTCCCACCAAAACTGGCACGTGACCCGCCATGCCTTGCCCCTCACTCTCTCCGCTATAAGACGAACGCAGGTTGACAGGGAAACCTGTGTAGTGAGAGGGGACGGTTGGGAGGGCTTCATCTCATGAGTCAGGATAAGTATAAAATATTAATTTTATCATAAAAATTACATATTTTTCCTTATCCTGACTCATGCTTATTTGCTTACTGAATCCGACGGAATGGGTGGTGGGTCAACCCACCTAACGGGATTCCCTGTATGATTGTATTCAAGTCAGCGTTCACTTGATATATATACCCCCTTGGAATTTTCTTATTCTGTGGCTAACTTCAATATTTCTTGATGCTTGTCGGGGGACCACCTTCTTATACATTCGTAAGTTTTGTGGATTTAGTATACTAGACGCCTGGTTGTCTAGATATCTGCAACGACCCAATATGTTACGGTAAGAACTTTACCATAACTGAGTCTATGTATCACTCATGCGCTGACTTATCTCGTAAGTCAGGGAAACATGGACTCTCAGCCGATGGCAATGGATAGTTGCCTGGCGTCAACAAATCTACGTGACAAGGGTGAGTTTCTTCAACGTACGGTATGGTATGGTGCGGTGAGTTGTTGCACTACGACTAGAGGGCCGAACTGGTGTATCCCTGATACGTCTTCTGTGGAGATGTCTCTCAGGTAGTGATTAGCGAAGACAGTGCCTGACATCCAAATGCAGCCTTCCATTATAGATGATATAGAGCAGTTTCCATGTAGGGCGAGTGTCAAGGCCAAAGCTCTAACTTCATGTGGGTTTGATGCTCTTGGAGGCTCTAACCCTGCTGCTTTATAGGCTCTTAGGATCACTGCTCTGATCCAGAAGGAGATCGTTGTACGGGATACTTCTAGTCGTAGCGCTCGATAGCGGGATGAATAGACGCTTGAACTTCCTTCTTCTCGTAGCAGATTTCTGCAAGTAGATTCTCAGCACTCTGACCGGGCATAAAGATAAATCTTGAGTGTCTTCTGGACCCAGGATTGTTTATAATGTCGGAACGTAGAACTGACGATCCGGTTGGCCCGGTAGCTGGTTCTTGGCTATAAAGTCCCATCTAAGGCCTAGATGGACTGCTTCCCTTCTTCCCGTGTCGAATCTCGTACGGCTGAAGTCAAGGGCGTGTATTTCTGACATCCGAGCAGCAGTAGCCAAGGCGAGGAGGAATATCGTCTTTTGAGTTAATAACTCAAATGTCAGCGGTTCGTATACATCACTGATGAGGTGCTGCAACACTATGTTGAGGTCCCATGCTGGTGCTCTGAACTTCTGTTGTTGATCTTCCAACTTAAAAGATCCCAGCAGGGCCACTAGTTCAGGCACCTTCCTCAACTTCACCCCTGTCTTCATGGTGATGACCGAGCTGATTGCCGCAAGGTATGTAGACAGCGTAGAGCTCTTCAGATGTCTAGTGGACCTCAGATGACACAAGTAGTCTGCTACTTGTGGATGTGTCGCCTTTCTGGCTGTGAACCCCTGTTGAACAGCATACTGGTCAAAACTTCTCCACTTGTCATCATACAGGTTACGTGTAGATCTTCATAGGGCCAAGGTCACAGCCTTGGCTGCTCTAGTGGAGTAACCTCGATTCTTCAACTGACTGGCTGATTTTAGTTTTACGCAGCTTTTAGCAATATTCCGCAATATGCTCCATAACACATTGTAACTGGAACGCTTCTGGGTTGCCGTGACACTGCTTGGTGTGAGGATGGACGAGTAGGTTCGGCCAATCTGGTAATCGTAGAACTGGTTCGCCGTGAAGATCTATGAGGTCTGGGAACCATAGTCTCACTGGCCAATAAGGCGCTACTAAAATCAGTTGTAGCACCCTCGTCTGGTTGATCTTGCGTAATACTTGAGGTAGTAGGATCGGTGGAGGGAAGGCGTAGGCCTTCATTCCCTCCCAGGATATGGCTAAGGCGTCGACAGCCCAATCAGCGGGTCTGGCACTGGCGAGACGAACGTTGTCACCTGCTTGTTGAAACGGGTTGCAAACAGGTCGATGAGGGGACGGCCTAGTTGAGTTGTTACCCACTGGAACACTTCTGGATGTAACTTCCACTCTGTGGGAGACGGCCGTACTGGTCTGGATAGGGCGTCGGCTAGGACGTTCTTTGCCCCTGGGATGTGGCAAGCCCTCATCTTCAGGTTGATTTCGTCTGCGATGTCAAACAGCTGGAACGTCAGTTGAAGCAACGGCGCTGATCTCGTGGACTCTTGCAGTTTTATGTAAAAGGCCACCGTGGAGTTGTCCGTGTGTATCATCAGGACCTGATCTTCTAACTGCGCCATCCAATATAGACTTGCTTCTATTACTGCTTTCAGTTCTAGCTGGTTTATGTGCAGACTCTTCTCTGTTTGTGACCACTGCCCTGCTGCAACCTCGTCATTGAGATGTGCCCCCCAGCCTTGGAGGGACGCATCCACGTAGAGATGAAGATCGTACTCTGGCTCTCTCAAATAGGTTCCACCGCAAACATTCGATCTTACTGTCTTACTGTCCACCAAAGCAGGTGCTATATATCCAAAATATTTGAAGTTATAAGCGCGAAGGGACCCTGAAGTGACCGCCCAAGCGATGTTAGAGGAGAGAGTGATGAGCAAGGCATGGTGGGTCATGTGCCAGTTTGGGCGGGAAAAGGGAGGTAATTCAGGGTGAGTGGTTGTGCGTTCGCTTCAGGGGATTTGAAGGGATTCAAGTTTCCACTTGACCATTCGGAAGAGAGGATGAGAAAGCAAATAAGCATGAGTCAGGATAAGGAAAAATAAAGCATTATAGGGTTGTAAGACTAGACTACAACACACATTACTTCAAGGCTCCTCCTTAACACTGCCTATGAACATTATCAAGAGTATTGATAAACAATTTTGCAATTTGCTTTCAAAATTTGACTCTTTCCAAAATTAATTAGTTGCTGAAAATATATAATTTTGATAAAAACATGTAACTTCAAATCAGGTGAAAAGGAGCCCCTTTGAGGTAGCAGATTCAGAGGCTGAAGAAAAGACTGGCTTGATTAGAGCTTTTTGCACTGCAGAAAGGGCTGGGCGGAAGAGGAAATAATGTGTTTCATGGGCTGTGTGACAAACTAGTAGAAAACATGCCTTGACTTGATTTCTGCCGACAGTATCTTGTCCACCTGCTTCTTGTTCTCCTGCATCTGTTTCTCCAGCAGAGTGATGGCATCGTTCAGCTTCAACAGAGTCTCCTTGCCCTTGCTGCGGTCATTCTGGAAACAGTACACCCAGTAATAACAAGCTCATCTATCTATCCACCTTTACTATCAAACACCTTCCAATAATAATCATCATCTGTAAATGTCAGTATGCACAGATACTTTGTACAACTTTTTCTTTATCTTGATTATTTAGTTTCTATGAAAATAGAATAGAATTCATTCAATCCAACTTTACTGTAGTTACACATTTGAAGCTTTACTTTGTTTTAATATATATATTGTTACAAGTTTGTAAACATATGTCAGGATTTATCATTTATTGTGAAATGGAAAATCTGTGCATTGGTAAATTGCGAACTGTAAAAACCGGGTGCAGTACAGTGAAGTGCAAGTGGGTTTAGCAGGAAGAAAACACTGAAGACTACCAGGAGATCTCTGTTCAGTGTCAAGAGTGGGACATACATGGGGGACACACATACACAACACTGAGTCTTTAATTACAGGGTGAAAGTCAACAGGTTCTTGTTATAATCCTTGTGTTAATCATTAAAGATATACTTCAGACCATGTGAAATACCACAAAGACCTCAACCCTTACCCCACCCCTGTTTAATTTTAAGTTAAAAATAATTACATATGCACATATTACATATATGAATTTATATGCACCTGAAACCAAAACAATGAAATTTAATTTATAGAAAGACAGTGTGTGCATAAATGAAGATCCGGAAAATAGCTAAGTTTCCTCATGACTAGAACAAATAAAGACAAAATATCACTAAAAGGTCCCCTAACTGATACCATGAATGCTTTGTGCTTTAGACCTTCCGTGAGTGAGTGGATTGGGTTTATGCAGTATGGCAGCAGCATGGAATGTGTACTGAAGACAGGAGTGGATGATAGCATGAGCATCTCTCCAGGCCATAACAAATACACTATCAAAGATGAAGTTATTCATCCAAGCTGTCAGGCATTCAAAACATATCCATCTTCAATCTCTACTCTGGCCATAATATTTCAATATTAGACCCTGTGTACACCTATCTAAATCTCTCGGGTGGTTCTCACAATCTCAAATAATGCACACTTGATGTCCACTTGCCATATCAATCAGGGTGTGAGTTTCAACTGGAATTAGTGTTGATTTGGCAATATGTACAACATGACAGACGGTCCCATTGATTACTGAGTGAGTTTAAGAAAATACAAAATTGATGACTGATATGCCTTCATTTCCAGTAAAACTGCTGGTATGCTTTGATTCTTACCAATTACCTTCCTCGCCCTTTCCCCAATGTCACCGTTTGGTCGGTAAAACGTGATTGAAAATCAAGGGGAGGTAACTGAACCACAGGAATGGATCGAGGGGTTGGTGTAGGTTACTGAGATGCGAACCCTGAGATACAGAGGGTGCTGCATGACAAGGAAGAGAAAGTAGGTTCTACACTTGCACAGAGGAATCATGATCAAAACACTGATCGTATCAAAGATGAAATCTTCTGAATTGGGAAAAGAAGAGGTGTGTGCAGATTCTGAGAATGAGGCAGTGCTTGCATCAGTGTGTGAATGGGCCTAATATTGTCAACACAACATACCTCTATTCCCTCCTAACATGCCAGTGTGCAAGTAAATACATGCTTCATTTAACATGCTTGAAAATATGGACTAAGCATTTACAAATACATAACAAAGTAAACAGTTCTTCCACAGATATTCCTACCAAAGCCATTACCATGCAGTTCTTACAGGCTACAATCATTATTGTCTGAATCACTGAAATTTTTAATCATGTCAACATTTTGCATGTTTAAACAGAACTATTTGACTATTGATATAACCTGGCCATTGATCATCACTGACCTTGATGAGATCTCTGAGTGCCTGTATTTCAGAGTCCGTCATTTTTTTCATGTTCTGGTACTGAGCCTCAACTTCTTCACGGGATCTTCGTTCGTACTCATTCCTTGCTGCCTGTTCCTTCTGTAGGAGCTAGACAAACAAGCAAAACGATACACAGGTAAACCCACAGCATACATGTATACACAGTGAGTCCTCGATACCATACTCATCGATGTACCACTATCGTGGGTGCAGTCTACGTAAGGCCACACTCATTTCCATCCTTTCTTTGCCAGAGCATTAGGCTCTGCAGGTTGGGTCAAAATGGCCACAACCATAACATAGGTTTTTAGTTGTTTTGTACTGTGGATATGGAACAAATGGGTGAACAGCATAATAAGTTATTGATGCATAGATACCAAGTAGTTTTGTCAGTTTTAACACCTTGGAAGACTTGGTTTTTTTCCTAAAGCGATTGTAAGTTTTCATCAGTGATGAAAAAACAATGTGTATACAAAGTCATGAAGTACTGATGATGGTTTAAAGACCCTACAATACAGACTGCTAAATAGGACAACATCTACCTTCTCCAGCTGCACGTGCTTGTCTTGGACCTCTTCACGGAGTTTGATCTCCTTGTTAAGAACCCTCTTGTTTATATCCTCAAAACTCTCTCCAATCTTAGCCTGCTGCTTCATCCGTTCAGACTCTGCCTGATGCTCTTTCTCCCTTGCAATCATGTCCAGTGCATGCATCGACTCCTCTCGCTTCCGGTTCTGCTCTGCGATCAACTGCTTCAGTTCATTGGTTCTGAAGGAAACATGGACACATGATATCATCCACCTCAAATCAAGGGCATTAAATGGGCACCTCTTCATGAATGTTCCCTATACCATTTAACACAGGCAATTGCCCCTTGAATGTCTTAGTACTCAAAATAAAATGTTCAATACTCATAATACAGGAAACGCCGATGTGACACCCTTTCACAAGACAATGTTACCAGATACAAGTATTATAGTATAATGAGATCCAGATTCCCACCTGAGCTGAAGTGTCTGTTCTAGACTTCTTCGATCTGTCGACTCCTGATCTTGCCGTGTCCGCAGATCCAGGATAACATCGCGAATCTCTCCCATTCTACAGAAAACAAATCAGGAAATCACAATATTTTCCAGCAGCCAACTTAAGATTTTGGAAAGTTATCACACCAATGATTATTCCTATGTTCAAGATGGCAGAAGGTGGTTGAGCTCTGACCTGGTCTCAACTTGTCCACGGAGGTGGGTGGTGCTGCTGTTGGTCTGGGTCTGGATGTCACCCTGCTTCCTCATAGACTCTAACTGTAAACACACATCACAGTCAACATAATGATAAAAGTCACAGCCAGCATGACCATCACAAGTCAGAATAACTATCAGTCAGCATGACTATTACAGTCACCATACATATCAGTCAGCATGACCATCAGAGTCAGCATGATGCTTAACCATCAGTCTGAATGATGTTGACAGTCATTGTGACTGGACAGATTGCATGACCGTCACTGTCATCATGTCCATCACAGTCTGTATGTCCATCACAGTCTGCATGACCATCACAGTCTGCATGACCATCACAGTCTGCATGACCATCACAATCTGCATGACCATCACTGTCTGTATGACCATCACAGTCTGTATGACCATCACTGTCTGTATGACCATCACAGTCTGTATGACCATCACTGTCTGTATGACCATCACAGTCTGCATGTCCATCACAGTCTGCATGACCATCACAGTCTGGATGACCATCACAGTCTGCATGTCCATCACAGTCTGCATGACCATCACAGTCTGCATGACCATCACAGCCTGCATGACCATCACAGTCTGTATGACCATCACAGTCTGTATGACCATCACAGTCTGTATGCCCATCACAGTCTGTATGCCCATCACAGTCTGCATGACCATTACAGTCTGCATGACCATCACAGTCTGGATGAACATCACAGTCTGCATGACCATCACAGTCTGCATGACCATCACAGTCTGCATGACCATCACAGTCTGCATGACCATCACAGTCTGCATGACCATCACAGTCTGCATGACCATCACAGTCTGGATGACCATCACAGTCTGCATGACCATCACAGTCTGTATGACCATCACAGTCTGCATGACCATCACAGTCTGCATGACCATCACAGTCTGTATGACCATCACAGTCTGCATGACCATCACAGTCTGTATGACCATCACAGTCTGTATGTCCATCACCGTCTGTATGTCCATCACAGTCTGTATGTCCATCACAGTCTGCATGACCATCACAGTCTGTATGACCATCACAGTCTGTATGTCCATCACCGTCTGCATGAACATCACAGTCTGTATGTCCATTACAGTCTGTATGTCCATCACCGTCTGTATGACCATCACAGTCTGCATGACCATCACAGTCTGTATGTCCATCACAGTCTGTATGTCCATCACCGTCTGTATGACCATCACCGTCTGCATGAACATCACAGTCTGTATGTCCATCACCGTCTGCATGAACATCACAGTCTGTATGTCCATCACCGTCTGTATGTCCATCACAGTCTGTATCCATCCATCACATCACAGTCTGTATGACCATCACAGTCTGTATGTCCATCACCGTCTGCATGAACATCACAGTCTGTATGACCATCACAGTCTGTATGTCCATCACCATCTGTATGTCCATCACAGTCTGTATGTCCATCACAGTCTGCATGAACATCACAGTCTGTATGACCATCACAGTCTGCATGACCATCACAGTCTGTATGACCATCACAGTCTGTATGTCCATCACCGTCTGCATGAACATCACAGTCTGTATGACCATCACAGTCTGTATGCCCATCACAGTCTGCATGACCATCACAGTCTGCATGACCATCACAGTCTGTATGACCATCACAGTCTGTATGTCCATCACCGTCTGTATGACCATCACAGTCTGTATGCCCATCACAGTCTGCATGACCATCACAGTCTGCATGACCATCACAGTCTGTATGACCATCACAGTCTGCATGTCCATCACCGTCTGCATGAACATCACAGTCTGTATGACCATCACAGTCTGTATGCCCATCACAGTCTGCATGACCATCACAGTCTGCATGACCATCACAGTCTGTATGACCATCACAGTCTGTATGTCCATCACCGTCTGCATGAACATGACAGTGTGCATTACCATCATAGTCAGTACTGTTAGAATATATACAAGATATCAGATGCCATTTGCAACATGTCCATACTCTGTCATATCCTACAACATTTTAATAATGCAATTATTTACACATAAAATATTCTTTAAGCAGCAGAGAACAGATTTGGCAATATCCTTATAGAATTACAGGATGATGAACTTTATACTATACTGAACGATGGAAAATGTTTCCAAAAGAATGCAAAGCATGCAATACAGGAAAATATAAGGTGGATATACATTCATCTGGGATATATATTTACATGTATATGGGAACTGTGAGGTAAGTGTAGGGAACTAAAATGCAAAATTATAGTATTGCCATGCCATCACATCGAGCTCAATGACACACAAGATATAACACTGTCTGAACTTACAATGGAGAACTTGCTACAAAGGCCAATACTACCAATACTAGCACTATCATATTTTAACATACTTGGACTCATGATTAGAGGTCAACAGACATTTAAAGTACTCTTGTAGTTCTGGTTTGTAAAAGAAACCTTTAAATATGACACCATTTGTTAGGATGCAATTGATTAATTATCAGATTTCCATCCACATTAAAAGCAGGAGGGAATTTTTGGGTGAAGTTCCAAAGGCATCTGTGCATATTAGCTTTCAGCAGCTGAAGCATGAATATTTGGTAGGAATATATATATGTGAAGGGAACACATTGAAAATTTCACTTCTTAAGTAATCATGCAGGTGTTTGGTGGTTGGATGAGCAGCTATGGTTCTCTAATGACTAATTTATTCTGGCCTTATCATAATCAGTTGAAAGCTTTATAAAGGACATACATACAAGGACTAATGTTAAGTCAGATCTAATGCTCCTATACAAACACACTCTGCATGGCACCTTAACAGGAGGTTACAAAAAAAGCTAATCGGACAATCAGCATTGAGGCATCTTTAATGATGCTTTAGTATAAGTGGGCAAAACATTTGTACAAGAATATGAGATTTCTGTACCTTAAAAATGAATATAACTAGGGAGATCCAAATGCAAAATAATAAAGCCCCATCATTATCTTGTATTGGGTATTTTACATAGGGTGTACCATCAAGCAAATATTTGAGTTCTGTCTGGGTTTTCTTCTGCAAGGAACAAAAAATTTCAAATCACAGGGATTAAAAATAATCTGAATCATTTTACATTTCAATCTGGTGGTCAAGCTAAGCTCAGTGTGCACTTTACTTGACCTCCTAGAAGGGGTCATCAGATCTCCACAGAGAGGTATCATAAGGAGCCAAGAGATTTGATTTTAACAAGATTGATAAATGGACAATACATTCTGTGTTTAGAATAAAATACATGTTTAGACAGGACATTGTACATGGACAGGATTAGCACGATCAACACGATGAAGGACGAGATACATGTCAGGAGGTCTAGACACATGAAATCATGCCACAGTCATAGAATATAATTCACACACATAAATGTATCAAAATTCACATAAAATAAATTTATTTCAACAGCTAAATTTAAAAAAAAATATATTCATATTTTGAAATAGTTGTGTGTACAGTAAGAGGGAACACTGATGATCTCAATGAAACAAAAGTGGTAACAGTTCAGATTTAACTTACCCTCTAACAATGACAGCAATAATAAAAAAGATGAAACTTTAATATGATATTCAAACAGACATCCAGGTGGAAATAAGAGCCATATTTCAGTATTAATGATGGAATAGTGGATACAACACTGTGAACAGCAGTAGTTTTAGCACTATCCTCTGATTGGGGGAATAATATCTGCCACTTGTTAAAAGGAGCAGCAATCTCACTTAAACTTTTGACAAAAAATGTAAGTTTCCTTGATTGACTTTATACTCCATTGTACCATAATCAAAACTTGAAAATATTTTTCATGTCATATTATGAACATTACTGAACTGAATTTGCAACCAAACTTAGCAAACAGTTTGCAATGTGAGTCCTACTTCTTTATGCTACAATTTCCTATAAAACATAGAAAGCCATATGCTTTGAGACAAACTTCACACTACCCTGACATATTGGAACATTTGAGTCTACAAGAATGTGGTTCCTGGTATAATTTCAGTAGATATAATTTTTGTCTTTGGGCAAGTCGACAAAACCTCTTGTACATCCTCCTCCAGCCAAAAGACAGGAGACTTCTGGAACTATTCATAACACTTCTATTAGGACTTCTTGTACATCAACCTCTAGCCTAGAGTCAAGGAGACTCTTCTGTACATACATAACAGCATTAGTAGATACTTGCAAACCCAATGCAAGACAGGCCAAACTTGAAACTATTCTGACCCTGCTACCCCTCCCTATAAGGACAGTGACTGCACGACCTCATCTACATCCTCCTCACCTGGACCCTGTTCTCCTCCTCCAGCCTCTTGGACCTCATCCTGAGGTCACTGGCTATGGACTGGAACTCCTGGTTCTGTGTGTCAACCTTGCTACGCAATCCTCTCAGTTCGTCCATCAGAGAAAACACCTGCTTCTCAACCTGATCCTTGGCTCGCTGAGTCTCTTGGAGAGTGCCCTGCAGTTCAGATATTCTACAAAAACAACATAGCAATCTGTATCTCTTGCCTAGAACTTCCTGTTCAAGTAACAATACATATCTCAATCAGAATAGACAATAGATCAGTGACAATAGATACACACAAGGTCATATACACGTATGAAGTAGTGTAGGAAATCTGGGGTGAAACAAACCTGAAAATAAACATTACCAGTTACATTTGGATAAAAAAGATCATTATATTAAACTGTGTAGGATTAGGTAACATTATATAAATGAACACTATATTTGCTTGGTTATTTTTAACTTTTTCATTACAAGCAAAGTGCAGAGGTCCTTTTTTGTGGACATGCCACAAAAATGTTAAGCAAAAATAGGAAATATGACACAGATCTGAAAAATCTATGATGGATGGCAATACACATTACATGCTGGTGTCAGGCAACTGTGCCAGGATGTGTCTTTCATACACAAAACTAAAAACACTTTGAAGGGGACATTCCTTTTTTTTCTGAAGCAACCAACTAAGTAACTTTCATGTAAATGTAGATAGAGTCAGCATCCCTATCCAGTGTTGAATGGTACATATAATTGTCTCCTTCCTACCTTGTCATCTGGGAGTCCTTCTTTGCACGTAGTTCATGCTGACTGGAGAGAACAGCTTGCTCCACGCCCTTGGTGTGAGTGACCAGCGTTGACAGAGCTGACCTCTCCTCCAGTAGCTTCTCTTCCGTGACCTTGATTCGAGTGGACAGCTGCATGATGAGGTCATTGCACATCTTGAGCGATGACTCCACCTGCTGGCGAGCATTGCGCTCTTCTCGTAACGTGTTCTCATTCTTATTGACAGAAGTCCGGAGTTCATTCTGTAGCCGTAACACCTCCTCTAGAAGAGCACGGTTTGACTTCTCTGTGACACCTAGTCGAGACTCCAGGAAATTGACTTTCTCCTGTGCCTCGATGAGGTCGGCGCTCGACCTCATCCCATTCCGTCCCCCGGTACCATGAAATGGTACTACTTGGTTGTCCGCAGCGGGAGTGGGGGACGGAATTGAAGGCAACTGACTATACTTTGCAGGAAATTGGGTTGACGGTCTGGCAAAGACAAAAACACCATAAATATGAGCAACTGAGTGAAATGGGTTCTACACTGTTGACAATATTCAAGCAATATCAGGGTGGAAGATTCCAGAAATGGGTTTTTCATATTGTACCCTGAGATCATCAGTATAATGAGGAAATTCTTAAACCTGGTCACTAGACTACTTGTTTGTTTGTTGTTTAATATTCCAGCTATATAATGGCAGCCTGTCAGTAACTGAGTCTGGACCAGACAATCCAGTGACCAACAACATGAGCATTGTTCAACACAATTGGGATACCATTACATGTGTCAACCAATTCAGCGAGCATGGACACCTGATTCCATTAGTTTCTTTTTACAACAAGCATGGGTTGCTGAAGACCAATTCTTATTTGTCTCGGGTCTTAGAAAACATGAAAACCTTCACATCACATCATAACCTTGCTTGATATTAAAAATCTTGCTCTCAGGCAGAGACCTGATCACATCAAATCAATGAGAATTTGTATACTGCCTGACATGCAACATAAATGTTGTTCACATAATATGAATATAGATTACAAGTTATCATCCATAAAATGCTGTGAATCACTTCACATTCAGGGTAAGGCCCTACATAAGTTGGTTAACATATGTCTGAAAGAATACCGGCAATCAAAAGAAAAAACATGCATTTAACAAAATATTTTGGGATTGACTGTTTCATAATTTGGGGTCAGAAAATACTTTATTTTCACTAGTCTGCAAAAATATTTCCTGCACAGAAAGTGACACACAGATGTTTGTTTGCTGTTTAATGCCACACACAGTATCATGCCAGTTATAGGACAGTGGTCTGTAAATAACTGAATCAGAACAAGACATTTCAGTGATTGATATCACGAGCAACATGCCACACACAGTATCATGTCAGTTATAGGACAGTGGTCTGTAAATAACTGAATCAGGACAAGACATTTCAGTGATTGACATCACGAGTAACATGCCACACACAGTATCATGTCAGTTATAGGACAGTGGTCTGTAAATAACTGAATCAGAACAAGACATTTCAGTGATTGATATCACGAGCAACATGCCACACACAGTATCATGCCAGTTATAGGACAGTGGTCTGTAAATAACTGAATCAGAACAAGACATTTCAGTGATTGACATCATGAGCAACATGCCACACACAGTATCATGCCAGTTATAGGACAGTGGTCTGTAAATAACTGAATCAGAACAAGACATTTCAGTGATTGACATCATGAGCAACATGCCACACACAGTATCATGCCAGTTATAGGACAGTGGTCTGTAAATAACTGAATCAGGACAAGACAATCCAGTGATTGACATAATGAGCATCAATGTACCCAAACCTGATATGATTATATGCACTAATCGAGTCAGCAAGACTGACCACCTAGTACCATCAGTCCACTCTTAGAACTGCATAGGTTGATTAAAACCATCTACCTAATGGTAAAAGTGAATAAGCAAACTTTACATGTCTTTGAACTGACAATGCCATTTACTAAGAAAGTGTAATCCCAAATATAACATATGTTTACCTGTCTTTGTTTGTGTCTAGCAAAACTGTATAAATTTTTAACAGTGCAATTATGTGTTGCACAAGGAACATGAGAGCCAAATGATTGACTGTTACTTAAAAATACCCACACATTAGCTGGAGTTGGATATCAAAACCAAACTGAACACACAGGAAGATTTTTTTACTTCTGCTCCAAATCTTTGTGGTATAACGGATAAAATATGATGGAATCTGTTGTCAAACTATCAACACTTAACACTGAAGACCAGACAAATATTTTCAGTCATTACTAACAGGGTAAGTTTGAAGCAGCATTATAAAACGATTCTGAGCAAACCAACTAAAGGGCCTTGAGCTATCTACTTTCTATGTACTGTAGCAGGACAGTATCTGTTCACTGAAGTCTTGTTGATATGGTATAAGATATTTATTAATATTGATCTGCTGAAATGTGCTGATAACACATTAACGAGACGATTTTCTCTTGCACTTGTCAACCCTGCATGTTACATGCCCCGAAGTATTTCTAAAGACAATACCATTTGTAATAATGTGTATAGATGTACACAGAACAGTGCTTTCAGTAATATAAATATCAACATGCTGTTGCTAGCTAGCAGACTGCAGTGTTTTGGATACTTTAGTTTTCTTTGTGTCCTGTTTATGTGGGTTTTGTTTCCAATAGAGAGTTGCTAGGAAACTATTGATTTAACTTCTCAAAAAACATGCTCTCTTCATACTAGGACACTAACTCTCAACATCTGTACTTTCCAGGCATCCTACTGATAAACAGCACTCAAATGTAACACAGCTACTTTGTTTCTGACAAAGAGTATCATGTGTTACATTATATATTCGTTCCATCTCATTGGGAACATTGACACCTTGAATGATTCATTACATAATCTGCTCAGATCACAAGCTCTGGCAGCTACAACGACAATCATGTCTTTAGCGATTCCGAAGAACAATTACTGAATTTTATATCAATCAAACTTTAGACGCCCAGTTTCACTATGGTGTTGGTAAAGAATGTGAAACATTGTTGCTGTGTAATTTGAGTGATGATCAAGTTCTAGATCGATGTGAATTGTAAACTGTGTGCATACAGACAGGTATATTTGGGTTTAAGTTATCTGAATCACCTGTTTTGCATGCTGAGCCCTATAACGTGAACGTAATCTCCTTTGCACTTAGCCATGCATCCAAAGACAAAATAAAGGACATGGTCTGAATGAAGCTAGTCCAAAACTAGTGAGTGCGTGTGAGTGAGTGAGTGAGTTTAGTTTTACGCCACACTCAGCAATATTCCAGCTAAATGGTAGCAGTCTGTAAATAATCGAGTCTGGACCAGACAATCCAGTGATCAACAGCATGAGCATCAATCTGAGCAACTGGGAACCGATGGCATGTGTCAACCAAGCCAGCGAGCCTGACCACCCGATCCCGTTAATCGCCTCTAACGACAAACATGGGTTACTGAAGGTTCATTCTAACCCGGACCTTCACGGGCTATAGTAGATAGGAATAGATGGTATGTGGTACCATATAGGGTATAGATATGAAATAGAGCCACAAGTCTCTGTAGCTCCCTTGATTGTCTTCTTGAATGTTCTTTTTAGGAACAGAAAGGTGTTACAAGGCTAATGAAGAAAAAGCAAACTGAAATATGTTTTCATTCATTCATTTATTTCAGTAATACTGACTGACTGAGTTTGGTTTTACGCCGCTTTTAGCAATATTCCAGCAACATCACTGCGGGGGACACCAGAAATGGGCTTCACACATTGTGCCCATGTGGGGATTCGAACCCGGGTCTTCGGCGTGACGAGCAAACGCTTTAACCATCAGGCTACCCCAGCGCCCCATTTCAGTAATAAGGCCTCAGGTCCACATATATTATATGCAAATATTCACAATTGGTGCTGCATTTCCTAAATTTTAAAGATATGAGCATCTTTCACAAAATTTGCCAGGTTTTTTTACAATAAAACATCAGAGGACTGTAGCATTCTTACAAGATTCTCTCTGTAACTGATAGTGTCCACGTGTAAGTAAGGAAAATATTTAAGACGTATATCATGATAAACAGGACAAACAAAAATAAAATGAATTTCATTTTCAATAGCATTTAAACTACATAGTGGGCAAAAACGGATGTTTTTGTCCATACCCTGCCTCCTTCCTGTATTTTGCATTATATCGAGTTCGCCGATTCTGAACAAGGTAAGCATGCGTGCGCGTATTCTTTACGTAAACTGTTTAGGTATAGCTCGGGGAAGAGGGACACTTTGAACTCTGCATAAAAATTTAGTTTGGAACAGTTTGACACCTCAGAATACCATGTTTGTGTATAACAATCTTTAACCCTAAGCTTAAATTCATTTATAAAGCAACCAGTCAACACCTTGGCATTGCCAAACTATTCCAAAACCTAGAGAATACAATAGATGCTTAATATGAGTTTCCCTACCAGCTGCATCTAAACCTACTAACATACTATAACACTGTTTGGGGTGCCTGTTTTGAGACATATTAAGTAGTTTGAACCAGTATCTTACACATCTGACATATGTATCTATGTAAATACCATAACGACCACATTAAGCCCAATACAGAGAGTCTGCAAAAGTACATAGATCATCAGCATAGAGAAGTATAAAGAACTCTAATAAATCTTCATGAACAAAGATCCCCCTGCCACCGAAATGCTGAATGTCATTTTCCAGCTGGTTTATGAACAATGAAAATAAAAGAGAGGACTCACAATGCATCCTTGTCTAACACCACTGAAACAATTGAAATGATCGTGATATTGCTCCTTGATATTTTAACAGAGGCCAAAGTTTTTTGGTTCATGTCCTTAATGATAGTAAAAACTTTACCATGAATATCATTTGAATAAAGGACATACCAAAAAAGTTCCCTGTTGACGGAATCAAAAGCCTTTTGAAAATCGACAAATAGACAATAAAACCTTCCTTTCGATTTAGATAAGTACTTCTGTACTAGAGACTGGAGAGTAAACATGTTATCAACCGTAGAATACCCCTTCCGAAAGCCAGCTCTACACTCTGGGTATTTATCATACGAATCTACAAATGATTTTAATCTGTTATTCAAAACTTGTGTAAAAACCTTGCAACAAATATCCATAAGTGAAATACCACGAACGTTGTTGACATTATGAACGCTTCCTTTCTTGTGGAGTGGAAAGATAATACTTCTGGACCAATGATCTGGAAAATAACCACTTCTACCTATATTATTGAAAACAGTAAGGAGATAAGGAAGTAAGATATTTTTACCACACTTTAACATTTCGGGCAGAATACCATCGGGACCAGCTGCTTTGCCACATTTCAAGGCATCAGTTGCACTTAAGACCTCATCTACCGTAAAATCACTGTTCAACAAACTGTTGATATCCTGATCATTACAAACATTACAATTCACAGCTTCATGTTCTGT